TGCAAATAGAAAAATAGGGACCACTTTGGTGGGAAGGCCTTCTGTGCGCCTTCAGCGTTAAGTCATGCTGGCCACATGACCACGGAGACGTCTTCGGACAGTGCGGGCACTTCGGCTTTGAAACAGAGATGAGCCGGAAACGATTAGCATGTATGTGTGAGGGGAACCTTTACCTTTACCTAGTGTGGAATTGTGGTTAAGGTATTGGACCTGTAGTAGGGGAACCCAGGTTTCGGTCCTCTCTCAGCCATAGATACTTTGTGACTTTGGGTCCTCTGTCTCAGCCCTGTTTGTAAAGGGAATTCTACCTTGAGTTCCCACAAAGTTAGTATTCATATCTTTGGTGTCTACTCTGGTCTTCCTGGAAGGGCTAACATCTGAGGGGCATCCCTTTCAAGACAGCAGGTGCTAAAGGAGTGCACCAATCTTGCTGGATCAAATCTTCTGAGCAGGTATCCTGGGTGACAGGCGCTCCCTCAAATAACCAGGCTCTATACATAAGCAATCTCTGATAATTTATCCTATGTAGTTAATCGGTGTACTGCCTTCCTTTTTTTCTTAGAAATGTTGAAGACAGAGGTCTACAGATAGTCCTCAACTTGCAACTTTTTTTAATGAACAGTGAAAAACCTGATTTAACAACGGGGCCTCACATTTGTGCATCATAGAATCCTCATAGGTGCATGATGGAAATTTGGACTCTTGGCAACCGGAATGGCTGCAGTGTCCCAGGCAGTTTCTGACAAGCAAAGTCATTGGTGAAAGCCAAATTCACTTAGCAATTGCAATGATTCGCTTAACAGCCATGGCAAAAAGGTTGTAGAACTGGTTGCAATTCACTTATCAACTATCTTGATTAACAAGAAAAATTCTGGTCCAAATGTGGTTTAAGCTGAGGACCATTTCGTATTCGTCTTACTTAGTTTTGACGAGCACCTGGTTTAAGCAAATGGGATGCTCTTTGTAATTAACTGACGCCATGAGATATCACTTTTGCTGCAAGTCAAAACCTTTCCTGTTATACAGGTATCCTCAACTTACGATCACAATTGAACCCCAAATTTCCATTTTCTAAAGAGGACAGTTGTTACAGAGTTTTTGCTCTGTTTTACAGCCTTTCTTGCCACAGTTGTTGAGTGAATCCC